GAGACTGTAGCTTTTACAGAGGAAAGTAATGCTTTATTACAAAATAAATCTCCACCTAAATTAAAGGATCCTAGTAGTTTTTTCTATTCGCTTTCATATTTGAAATGTCTTCATTGATAAAACATTATGTGATTTGGGTGCTAGTGTTAGTTTTATGCCATCGTCTGTGTGCTCAAAGCTTAATATGGGTGATTTAAAAGTTACTAACATTACTTTGCAAATGGCAGACTGTTTTGTTAATTACCCTTTAGGTATTCTAGAGGATGTCCCTGTTAGAGTTGGTAAATTTTTTATCCCTGTTGATTTTGTTGTTTTAGACATGGCAGAGGATACACAAATTCCAATAATATTAGGTAGACCTTTCCTCCACTCTACAGGAGCCATTATTGATGTAAAAAATGGAAAACTAACTCTATCTGTCGGAGATGATAATATCACTTTTAATTTAGGGAAGGTTTTGAAAGGTCCTATGTTAAAGGAAAATTGTTGTAGTATTGATGTGATTGATGTGATTGAAGTTATTTGTGAAGATAGCTTACCACAGGTCCTTGCGAGGGATCCCTTGGAGGAAGTACTTTGTGGTGATTTTACTACAGGTGATGCTGGTATTTGAAGCAGTGAGGTGGATGCTATAGAGAAGGCTCTTGCACTTGAAGAACTTGACCCTAAGGAGAGTAAGAAGGTAGTAAAATTAGTTCAGGAATCAAAACCTGCAAAGGTTAAGAAACCTGAACTAAAACCTCTCCCTTCTCATTTAAAATATGTATTTCTTAATGAGCAGGAATTACACCCTGTGATCATTAGTACTGCACTTGATGACCCACAAACTTCCCAACTTCTTAAGGTTCTTCAAACCCACAAAAAGGCAATTGGGTACAGTGATGATCTTAAGGGTATGAGCCCTGATTTTTGTATGCACAGGATACACTTAGAGGACAATCACAAGTCATGTATTCAACCCTAGAGAAGGTTGAATCCTAACATGCAGGAAGTAGTTAAGAAAGAGGTTATGAAATTACTTGATGCAGGTATTATCTATCTATCCTGTTTCTGACTCAAAGTGGGTGAGTCCTGTACAGGTAGTCCCTAAAAAGGGTGGGATGACTGTGATTAAAAACGATAACAATGAATTGATTCCCACTAGAACTGTAACAGGGTGGTGTATGTACATTGATTATCGTAGATTAAATATTGCCACCAAGAAAGATCACTTCCCTCTCCCTTTTATCGATCAAATGTTAGAAAGGTTAGCTAATCATAAATTCTTCTGCTATCTAGACGGGTACTTGGGATTTTTCCAATTTCTGATTCACCCTAAAGATCAGGAAAAAACCACATTTACATGCCCTTATGGTACTTTTGCATATCGTAGGATGCCCTTTGGTCTATGTAATGCCCTTGCTACTTTTCAACGTTGCATGATGAGTATCCTTTCTGAGTTCATTGAGTCTATCATGGAAGTCTTTATGGATGATTTTAGTGTATGGGTCTTCATTTGATGCATGTCTAGCTAATCTCACTAAAATTTTAAAAAGATGTGAAGAATGCAATTTGGTCCTAAATTGGAAAAAATGTCACTTTATGGTGACAAAAGGAGTAGTTCTTGGTCATATTGTATCTGATAAGGGTATACAAGTAGATAAAGCTAAGGTTTCTAGTGGAATTGGAGTAGTACTTTCCCCTATAGACTTGTGTATGGGAAAGCATGTCACCTCCTAGTGGAATTAGAGTATAAAACTTATTGGGCAATTAAAGAGCTCAATTTGGATGTTAAGTTAGCGAAAGAAGAGGCTACTACAATTTAACCAACTAGATGAGTTAAGGTTGATGGCCTATGATAGTGCACGTGTCTACAAGGAGAAGACCAAGAAATGGCATGATAAGATGATCCTTCAGAGAGAATTCAAAGAGGGTGATAAGGTTTTGTTGTTCAATTCTAGACTTAAACTTTTCCTTAGAAAGTTAAAGTCAAGGTGGTCGGGTCCTTTCACTGTTAAAAGGGCAAACAAATTCGTTTCCTTGGAGTTATATGATGAACATGGTGGTGATTTTAAGGTAAATGGACAAAGATTGAAATTATACCATGAAGGAGCTACGATTGGTGCAGTTGAATTACTTCACCTAGCTAATCGATTCCATCTCATCTTGACCGACATATGGTAAGAAGGTTGTGCGGGACCTAGATAAACCAGCGCTTTGCGAGAGGCAACCCGTATTTTCTTTCCTTTTAGAATAGTTTTTCCCTTATTTTTGTCTTTTGAGAGGAAGACATGAGGGAATTTAATGTGTTTTAGAGTATTTTGTACAGGTTGGAGAAAAAGAGTTAGCCAAATTTTGAAGAAAAGAAGAAAATTCGGACTCATAATGTTATAGCGCGCCCGACCGGGCGCGACAAGAAGTCCGTATACGAGCAATTTCGCCTGATCGGGCGCGAGAGAAAGAAGGATTTTGGCCTACAAATCACCCGACCGGGCAAACATTCGCCCGACCAGGCGCGAGAATAAAGATCCAAAATTAGTCCATTTTGCCCGACTGGGTGAGGTGGCGCCCGACTGGGTGAGGTGGCGCCCGACCGGGCGCGAGAGGAAGCCAAATTAAAGTCTTAGGTTCGCCCGACCAGGCGCGAGCCCAGAAAATTTTGATTCGCCAGATCGCCCGACCAGGCGAGAGGCTGCCCGACCGGGCGCGCCTATATTTTCCTCCGTGGCTTCTTCTTCTTTCTCCTTTCTTCTCCTTTCTTTCTTCTTTCTTTCTCTTTCCTCCATAGTTTCTCTCTCTAAAATTCAAATTTCTCTACCTTCTCTCTAAGATCTCTCCTCCAATTCTCACTCAAATTCAGAAATTTTACATATTCTTTCTCCTCTTTTCATCCTCTTTATTTCTATCCTAATTTTGTTTGTTTTTGAAACAAAAAAAAATTGTAGTCATATTTTCAAGATGGTTGGAAAGAGGGCAAGAACACAACGAGGACGTGGTTCGAGTGCACCGGTTGACCCGGAGCTACAATTACCTCAGTGGCCGACGATCAAGATTACAACTTCGCAATAACGTGAACGGCTCATCAACCTATATGAACGGGAGGTAAATCTTTCTCGGTGGTTACACTGAGACACCCTTCAATCTCTAGGTTTATAGCATGTTGGACGTTTTATGAACGATATTGGCATGCGAAAGTTTGTCGATATGCACTATCCCACATATCGGGAATTAACATGCGAATTTTTATCCTCTTTAAATGTGGTTCAATCAAATAATGGCCCTAATTTGCATTTCTGGTTGAATAATAGAAATGTTAGTTTTACTTATGTGGAATTTGCAAATTTATTTGAACTTGATCCTATTCCCCCCACCCAGTGGCATGAAGACTATAAGGTCGATGATATATATCTTGCTTTGTCGAGCAAACCTTGCCCAAATTCACAACATTATTGCGCACTTCCTTTCCACCACCTCGTCCCTAAAATCTTCCAAAGATTTTCGGGGACTTGTTTTTCAGCTCGTCACGAACCTCACAACACCCAAACCAACGAGCTAGCTATCTTAGGACATTATGTTTATGGGTACGAGAAATTGAACATTGCTAGATATATCATTACCCATTTGAGTAGGCACGCCAATGTCTGTAGTAACAATGTCAAGACCCCTATCCATTGCGGCGGCCTAATCACTAGGATAGCGATTAAGAAGGCGGGGTTTAATGAGTCTAGATACGAGGGGTTGACCAATTGTGGTGGGGATACTCTTATGAACTTGCCGTACTTCCAATTTTTGAACTGGGTTAAGCCTAACTGTAGCAAAGTTCTAGAGTGGCATGTGAGGGTAGGGAAGGATTACACACCCGTTTTCCCTCTTCCTAACCCCGAGTTGACTGCCTTTCCCCCTAGGCAAGATTCTTACACTTACGATATTCTACTAGCCCATGCCCAGGGCCGGGCACAACCCCGACCACGTGCACCATCACCACCACAGCCACACCCTGAGGTACCACTACCACCACCCCATGTGCCTCAGCCACCCCCACACCAGCCTAGGCTAGACCTCGAGACCATTTGGAACCTACAAAGTATAGGTCAGGCCATAGGTAGGATAGAAGAGACTTAGGGGGAGCTTAGGGCACAAGTAGGTGACATTAGGAGGCTAGTTGGTTCCCTTGACCAGAGGGTGGGCTATGTAGAGCGGAACACGGGTAGGGGACTTTATCCCATGTACGACGACTATGCTCGTCGTGGTGCTATTCCTGCTGACTCCCTTTACCTTGACTGGTTCCAACCACCACCCCAGGGATAAATGGATCCCGACTCCCATGGTATTTACACGGACTACTCTTCATTCTCTGGCTACGGCCAAGACTTTCCTTTTGGTGGGATGGGGGTAATGTTAACCTTAATTATTTTGGTGAGAGTTCTTCTAGTGGTACAGGTGGTAGTGGCAGAGGATTTGGTGCGATGGATGAGGATGGTGGTGATTAGCCATGCTGCGGCTAATTCCCGAGTCAATGAGGACATTGTCTGATTTTGGCTTGGGGGATATTTTTTGATTAGGTATCTTTCTTTTCTCTCTCTTTGTTTTTTTTGGTGTGTTTAGTATAGTTTTTACGAGTATCTTTGTCTTCAATTAATCTGCACAATAAGCAGGGGCATCAGTTTGCCACCAACTGCTTGACAAGGGATAACGTATGAAGTTGGAACTGAAGTAGGATGGAAATGTAAGCTAGGACAAGAACCTACAAAGTTAATTCTCTGCTCTAACTTCTCTTTCTCTGACACTAACCTATGCTTTTCAGCGCAAAGGGCTTTCTTCTTTGCCTGCATTAGTACAAAGTGCAGATAGTTTAGACACCACCATCCTTGATAAAGAGAACTACCAGTAAGAGATTAAGGAATCAAAAAATATACGAAGTATTATTTGGTATTAGGGCTGATTTGTGAGATTATTGGCTAGCAGGTTGATGTATAATCCTCAATTTGTTCAAAGCTTACAGATCAAAGCAAATATAAAAGAGTCAGAACCTTCAATTCATTTATCTTTTCTTATAATTCGCCATTTTCGCTGGTTAAGTTACAAGTTTCTTCATGTAACAGCTTTACTTGCCGAATAGCATCAGTTAGTATAGCGGCTTTGTCAAACTTGGGTGTTGTTCCAGACATCAATGTTTCACTTAACTCAAGGAACCTACCAACAAAATGGTAATAAGTACATTGAGAAAAAAAAAGGCAAAATGAGATCAAAATCCCTCATATATTAAAACTGTACATGCCTTTCATTTAGATGATCCCTTCGTTGTTTCTCATGGCATGCTTTGGAGCTGTTGGATGCAGTGACTGATCCCAAGTTACAATTTTTAACAAGTACCTTTTCCGGCAGCAGTCATCAAAACCATACAAACCCTCACTATAATCTTGAGTGACCGCACTGCATGGACGAAAAGAAAACAAACTCAAACACATTGTATATGATCAACAAAAATAATCCCTAAGATACCTTAATTGAATCAGACTTCGTGTGAACTAACTCATTTCCACAAAGTATTCTTACTTTGGCAAAACTAGATTTGATTTAAAGAATAGCCCAAGAGGAACAGCTCTATGGTGCAGAAGAACAGAACGACAAGATCTTTAAACTAATACAAAACTATTGCCTAAAATAAGTACATCCAAGGACCAAACAGATTGATATGATGAATAAAAGAGCAATTTATAAAAGTTAACATCCAAGGACCATGGCCACTATAACTCAAACGATATCGTAGTTTCTAGTTAAAATACATAGCCACTAATTCATAATATAAATCAATATATTGATTACATGATAGGACTAATTCTCCTTCAATATAACTCCTAATTCACCTCTTTGTCATACCACCTGTAGGTTCCATATTGGCATTATCATCCACTTGTCAATTGCTTAAATTAGTCATGTAACCTAACAATTGAGAGCTTAACTATAAGTAACTGATTATGCAGCCATGAGAAAGAGAGATAAACAGAGTATAACTGAGTTTTCAGATTGAAGTGAACGTTAAACTAATCAAACACATAAAATCTCAAAAATCAAGCAAAATCTAGAAAAAAGGGTAAATTGCAGAAAATTGGCCAATAATCATCTTTACCCCACAAAATTAAAGCCTAGAAAATGTGACAACTGATGCACGGAGTGGTGGTTTGGGCAGTAGCAGGAATAGCACGCAGCAGTATTTTGTATATGAAACACCAAATCTCCAATTATAACTTCCATTTCTGTGGATTTCTGCATCTCTTTCGCCCGCAATTATTTGGATTCTCGACAAGCTTATCAGGAGAAAATAATTAAATTAAAATTTGTCAGATTAGTTAACAAAAGATCAAGTTACAAGGCAAAACAAATTCAGCTGAAAAACAAAAAAACTAAAATCCCAAACTCATCTAATTACTTCAACCAATTCAGATGCATGCAAAATTTAGAATGAAAATAGCGAAATTAAATATGTTAATAGGCGAATTCAACATCAAATTAAGAAATCATCAACAAGATCAGAGAAAGGGAATTGAAACCCTAATTTTAGCTACTCAAATTTTTGTTAATAATGGAAGGGAGAAGAAACAGAACTAACCCCAACCCTAACTTTAAGGTGAAAGCCGCCGTGCGAGGATAGAGGCAAGGAGGTGGCAACCGCTGTCTTTGGGGTGGCAATCATTGTCCCTTTAACTTGGAGCACGAGACTGTTGGGTACGTCTTCAAGTTGGAGCACGAGTTGCGGTGGAGGGAGGCTGCAATGGACGGGGGCCGGGCTACAGTGGAGCAGCGGGAGCGAGATGGGGGCAGCGGTGGAAGCCGAGGAAATCTTGGGGGAGGAAGCAAGTTGGGAGACAGCCAACAGTGAGGTTATGAGGGTCGATCTTTTGACAAGACGAAGGGTGTATTTTTTTTTTTTTTCTATAAAAAAATATTGGATTGAAAAAAAAAATTGATTATATCAAATTAAGTGTTACAACAAAGTGCTACCAAATATATCAAAGTGTTACATTATATTAAAGTGCTGCTAAAAATGTTACCTAATACTACAATGTTACAAAAGTGTTACCTAAAAATCAAACAATCATGAATTTTTTAAAGTGTTACCAAAGGGTGTTACTTAAGCCCAATTTTGTACTAGTGCAAGTGTTTCTTTATCCAAGACATGGTCTTGATACCCTGCTTTGAATGGACTCATTATTTAATTCTAAACCACAATTGAATGGATATGGAGTAATCATAAATTTGCAGAAAATTTAATTGCTCCAAATTGAATGGTTCAACATAGTGTTTTACATTAAGACATCGAGTTTAATTAAAACATCTATACAGGGAAATCAAAGCCAATCTCCAATGTGCTTGATTCCCATTGCCTCAATGTGCTTGTTGTGCTTCACTTGAGACGAAGGTTTAGTCAGAGGATCGGCTACATTGTCGTCCGTTCCAATCTTACAAATTCTGATTTCACCTTCGGATTTCCATTCCCTTATCATGTGAAATCGCCGCTTGACATGTTTAACCTTCTGGTGTTCCCTTGGCTCCCTGGCCTGAGTAATAGCTCCATTGTTATCACAATAAAGGTCTATTGGACCCTTGATTGAGGGTACAACATCAAGTTCACCAATGAACTTTTAAATCTAAATTGCCTCCTTAGCTGCTTCCGAAGCTGCCAAGTACTCGGCTTTAGTTGTAGAATCTGCAGTGGTGCTCTGCTTATCACTCTTCTAATTAAACGTTCCTCCATTGAGGTAGAATATGTACCCCGACTGCGACTTGGAGTCGTCTATGTCAATCTGGAAGCTCGCATCAGTATAACCTTCAACAACCAACTCATTACAGCCACCATAGACTAGGAATTTATCCTTGTTCCTCTTTAGGTACTTTAGAATATTCTTGGCCGCAGTCTAATGCTCCTCTCCTGGGTCTGATTGGTATCGGCTCGTAGCACTCAAGGCATACGATACATCCAGCCTAGTACATATCATGGAATATATGATCGATCCAATAAGCGAAGCATATGGAATATGACTCATTCTCTCTCGCTCATCAGGTGTTTGAGGACACTGTTTCTTGCTGAGAGTTATGCCATGGGACATGGGTAGGTGCCCTCTCTTGGCCCCTTCCATGTTGAATCGTGCCAGTACCTTATCTATGTAAGTACTTTGGCTCAATCTAATCATTCTCTTAGATCTATCCTTGTAGATCTTGATGCCCAATATGTACTATGCCTCTCCTAAGTCCTTCATTGAAAAGCACTTCCCAGCCAGCCCTTTACAGACTCTAACAATTTAGTGTTGTTTCCAATGAGTAATATTTCATCGACATATAAGACTAGGAATGCGATGTCACTCCCAATGACCTTCTTGTAGACACAAGACTCGTCTGGATTCTTGATAAAACCAAACTTACTAATGGCTTCATCGAATCGCAGATTCCAACTTCTGCCTGCTTGCTTTAGTCCATAAATGGACTTCTTAAGCTTGCATACTTTCCCAACATTGCTTGGATCAAAAAAACCTTCCGGCTGTGTCATATACACAATTTCTTCCAAAATCCCATTAAGTAAGGCGGTTTTGACATCCATTTTCCATATTTCGTAATCGTAATATGCAGCAATCGCTAGGATTATCCGAACGGCCTTAAGCATTGCAACAGGTGAAAAGGTTTCATCATAATCAACTTCGTGAATTTGCATGTAACCTTTTGCCACCAGTCTAGCTTTGTATATAGATACATTTCCATCGTTGTCTGTTTTCAATTTGAAAATCCATTTGCAACCGATAGGTGTATAACCTTCGGGAAAATTAACCAAGTCCCAGACTTGATTTTCAGACATGGAGTCCATCTCGGATTTCATGGCCACTTTCCATTTAGCAGAGTTGGGGCTCGTCATAGCTTATTTGTATGTCGCTGACTCATCTCCATCCATAACTAGGATGTCTTGATCTTCGATTAAGACAATACCAAGGTATCTGTCTGGTTGAGATCTTGGTCGTTGCGACCTACGTAGGGTAATAGGTTGAGCATTTACATTGTCGGTTTGACTCTGACCAATGTCAATAACTACTTCTAAAGCAGTTTGATTGTCAGCTTTGTCATGTTGACTTTGTTGCTCTACCTCTCGAACTTCGTCGAGTTCGATCTTCCTCCCACTTGTCATTTTGGAAAGGTGTTCCTTCTCGGATTTATCATAGAAGTAATACCCTTTGGTTTCTTTTGGGTAGCCCACAAAGAAACACTTGTCTGATTTTGGGTGAAGTTTGTCAGAAATTAATCTCTTGACATATCCTTCGCAACCCCAAATCTTAAGAAAAGACAACCTCGAAGGTTTCTTCGTCCATAATTCATATGGAGTCTTTTCGACGGCTTTTGACGGAGCACGGTTCAGTGTTAGTGCCGCAGTTAGAAGTGCGTGTCCCCAAAAAAAAGATAGGAAGTTCACTAAGACCCATCATTGATCGAACCATGTCTAACAAGGTTCGATTCCTCCGTTCGGATACTCCGTTCCATTATGGAGTTCCGGGAGGTGTCAACTCTGAAAGAATACCATTTTCTTTCAAGTGATCGTCGAATTCATGGCTCAAATACTCGCCACCTCGATCCGATCGAAGTGCTTTTATTTTCTTGCCAAGTTGATTTTCAACTTGACTCTGAAATTCTTTGAATTTTTCAAAAGATTCAGAATTATTCGACATAAGGTAGACATAACCATATCTACTATAGTCGTCCATGAAGGTAATGAAATATCGATAACCTTGCCTTGTGGGTGTACTCATTGGTCCACATACGTCCGTATGTATTAGACCCAATAAGTCACTTGCCCTTTCTCCGAACTTGGAGAATGGCTGCTTTATCATCTTTCCTAATAGACATCCTTCGCAATTCTCAAACGACTCCGAGTAGAATGAGTCAAGAACACCTTCTTGAAGAAGTTTCTTGATGTGTTTGACGTTAATGTGGCCAAGACGACAATGCCACAAGTAGGTTTGATTCGACTCGATGGTCTTAGCCCTTTTGGCGGTATCATAAATTTGTCTAAACATATGCAATTTTATAGAACATATAAATTAGACATTTTAACAAACCAACCATTGATTAAGTCTTGTGATCAAAATAACTTGGTGTCCAACACCATAGATCAAAAGTATGTTCAAAAGCATAAGAAAACATCCATTGTTTAATTACAAATCATAGACAAAATAAATGTGCCTACAAGCACGATCAAAAGACCATCTTTGTCGTCCGCTTGTTGATGCACATGGTATCCAATACCCTCACTTGTGATGCCCTCTCACTTGGTTCCTGAAAAGGAAACATAAAGTGAGTTATACATAGTATCCAATACCTATGAATAGCTTTAAACACAAGTGTTAATGAAGATACCTGAGGTAGATGCCACATTCCTCTCCTCCTCCTCCTTTCGGAAGAGCTTGCATTCCCTCTTGTAGTGGCCTTGCTCACCACAATAGAAGCACCGCATCTTTGCCTTGTTCTTGAACTCCCTCCTCTTTGCTCTCAAGGGCCTCTCAGTCACTCCATAGGCGGTGGCTCGGCTAAGTAGTTGCACCACCTCCTTTAAAGAGCGTGTCTCCTTTCCCGCAGCTATATGTACTCTAAGTGCATCATAGCCCGAGTGGAGTGATGAGATTCCGAGAAGCTGCAAGTGTTTGAAGAGCCTAGTCATTCCAAGCACATGAGGTCGGAGGGGCATCCCGGGTCTCAATTTGGTATTGTAGACCCTTGACCAAAGCCGGCGCCTTTCCTTAGAAAGACAACCCACATCCGGTGGCTTTATCTTCATGTTTGAGAGTGACCTAATCAAATAAAACACGAGTCCATCATAGTTTCAATTATCACTCTTGGTGACTCTTATATTGATAACATCCTTTAATGATTTGAGGAAAATTTCCGGAAAATAGAAGGAGAGCTTTTCCTTCCAATCATCCGGGATGGAATTAGCCATTAGATGTGTGACTTTCTTGCAATCGGAAGACCATTTCTCATGGCCTCATCGCTCATGATTCCCTTAGAGAAGAAGCTTAGAATGGGAGTGTCAAGAGTGTACTCCAAGGAACAATTCCGAAGAGTTTTCCTGAGTTCCTCCTCCCACTCCTTGAAGTTGGCCAAGTTAAGGCTAAAAGCCAACTTGTCGGGGAGTTCCGGGCACATAGAGTTGTTGTTTGAATTACTTGCAGACATGTTTCTACAATTGAAAGAATTTGAAATGAAAAACCATTCATAAACCAATAAGTTTGAAATTTAAAGCGTTCATGCAAATTTTCAATCTTATTGAGCATTTTATCCACGCATTAACGTTAGTCCCTTTTAGGCGAGAATAAAACGATTCCAAGATCCCAAAAATCAAAAAGTGATTAACCATGGTTTGGCTTGTCTTAACACTTAATATTTTAGGGTAAGCAATATAATTATTAATAGCTCCAAGCTACTCTTGGTTCGATAAAATGTCGAATCTAATGCTTCCTTGACATTTTGTCTCCATTACCACAACATCTAAGGACTCCTTACCGATATCGTTGAGCTTAACTAAGACAACTTGTATACCTAGTATACCTTACGTTCCTAGGGAAGTAGTGATGTCTCGCTTTAGCATAGCCCATCACATACGCGCATTAGTTCGGTAAGTGTTGTTCTTGGAATGGCATATTTTAGCTCATTATTTTAGGGACCTAGGTTTCTATGTTGGTTGATTTAAGTGAACTTAATTAATCATCGCAGCATTTCAAATCCTAAACATGCATCTAACATATCCTTCACATATATAAGTACAATTATATATAGAAAATATGAAATAAGATGCATTTGGCAACTAGCATGACCCCTTGTAATCTTCAAATCTTCAAGGGTCTTCATCTTAGCTCGTCTTCATAGAAGCGCCGTCTTGAGACATCTTCGCCAAAACGAAATTACTAGCTACTACGACTAGGATTAATCTAAATATTAAGGTACAAAAATACTCAACGGTACACAGACCGTATTTAGATTTACAAAAATACATAACGGATCGTAGTCCGTATTTACTATCCTAATCGGGCCCCACTAGTTGCCATTTTCACGAAACCTGTGAAACAATATGTTTTCCATTCATCTATTCACTATTTGTG